ATCATGATGGCAAGAAGTTCTTTGTCATAGATCTCATAATTGTGTTCTGTGGGGTTTAACACTTTAAAGAGGTATGCAATTGGCTTCTAGTCATCTTTTTGTCTTTGTGATAAGACAGCACCCATTGCGAAGTCACTACTATCTGCTTCTACTTTATATTGGCCATGTGGTACTGGGAGGGCTAACACAGGGGCTGAAGTTACGCGTTCTTTCAAGGTGTTAAATGCTTCGCATTGTTTATTTCACCAAATGAAGTCCTCTTTTCCCGTTAACTTGGTCAATGGTTTGGCTACTTCCCCGAAGCCTTCTATGAACCTTCTGTAGAAATTTACAAACCCTAAGAACGCTTGTATGTCTTTCTTATTTTTGCATTCTGGCCATTTGCTAATTCCTTCTACTTTCACTGGATCCATGCAAATCTCGTTTTCTGAGATGATCAGTCCCAGATATTCTACTTCCGTTTGTTCGAAATCGCATTTCTCTGGTTTAAGATAGAGATGGTTCTTTCTTAGGATTTCTAATACTCGTTGCGTTGTTGCTCTGTGCATTTCTATATCCTTTGTAAATATCATAATATCATCCAGATATATGATTACAAGTCCTTCGTCTATCAATTCTTTGAAGAGCGTGTTCATCATTGTCTGGAACGTGGCGGGGGAGTTTGTCAGTCCGAAGAACATGACTAGTGGTTCAAATAACCCCCGATGTCATGCACCAAAGTTGATTGGTAGCATGGACAGGTGTCAATAACGAAGCAAATATTCAAAAAGACTCGCCTTTGCGCTACACAGGCACAGTGCCACGTGGAATAGTAATTAATATTGCCCTTTTTGAACTTGTGGCTGATCAGCACCACCTCTATTAGGCAATCCAGTCACGCTCACCTTTGCTTTTCCATTCGGTACTTTCCGCGTTTCAGCATTTCGGCAAATTTTTGCGTTGCCACTGGCTACACATTGCATTGCGCCCTCGCTTTTGTCGTTTCCCTTACTCCCCTTCCTTTGCCTAGCCCCACCATGGGCCCCTTCCTCTCCTTTTTATTCTCACCTGATGGTTGTTTCTGGATCCCCATTCTAATCCACTTTTTCGTCACCTCCACCCTCCTCCTCCTCATCTTATTTGCACCCCCACCATTTCTGATGTCACCACTTCTTATCCGCTTCTGTCGCCGATCCGTTGACTACCACGTGCCACTGCTGATATCAGCAAAGCCCCGGCGGCCGGTTCAAATAGGGCAACAGGTCCATCTTCATGACGTCGATCTACCATCATATACTATCAAAACATCGGTCGCTCGTCTTGCCTGGTTGGAGCGTGGGTGGGTAGTTTTTGAGCTGGAGAAGGTTCATCCCCTTGTGTCACCCATGTTCATCGCTGTCCCATTCACTTGGGTACACTTATCTTTTGTCCATCGTCTTCGCTACAGCTACACCTATCACACGCTGCCTGGGACTCACTTGTTCCAAATTGGAACTACTCCTCTCCCTCCCTCGTTTGATCAGGTGGTCCAACACAACCAGTCCATTGGTAAGGCCATGGAACTGTCGGATTTGGACTAGGTGGTGGACTGGTGGCTCCAGTTTCTTTTTTTAAGCAGAACATTCATTTACAGTGCGATTATTTTTGATTTTTGAATCATTTTTATGGACACATATTTTTTTAGAATGCCTGACTGACAATAAAGGAACTGTGTTGATACTGATAGTGTTTTGCCTTGCCCTTTTTTTACTGCATCTTCCCATGACATCATGATTTTCCTGCTCTCTTTTTGCTATTGGACTTTACTTTATGGCTGTACAAACCTGTGACATTACTCACAGCATTCATTGTTCTATCTCTTTCTTTTCCTTTTTTGACAATCTTATCCTGTACTACCTATGCAGGATTTGTCAGCGTACATTCCTTCCTTCATGTTCTTTCCCATTCTTTTTGCACAGCTATACTGTGCATAGCCTACTTCTCTTTTACTATATAAACCCCTGTATTTTACCTTGTAAAAAAAAAACAAGAACTCCAATCCAGACTTCTTCTCTACTCTCAAGTTCACTACTCTGCTACTTGTGATCCAGTGTGGTCACAACACTTCCCACTTTTACCACTGTCAACTGCTGTCATCGTCACTTCCCACTTTTGAAGTCATTGTCATCCCTTTCAATTAGAGTCCTTCTGAGCACTACAGTTTGTGCGTCAGGAGCCTGCTATCACTGGGAACCTCGTCATATTGTCGTTCTCAAACCTACCTTGTGCTACGATTAGCAAGGTAGTGCTCGTCTATACTCGTCACAAAGCCCCTATCCTTCTATAAATTCAACTATCCCTCCTCCTCAAAACCCACACTCATACACCTCTGGGTTTTACTTTGAAGGATCTTAATACGTACCACCCCACGAACAACCAGACCACTCCACTGTTCTAGGAGGCAAAGCCCATAAACAAGTTCCGTGGAATCTGGGAGGATTGTGTGTTAGTTTGTTTTGTGTGTGGTTTTCTAACTGCAGTTCTCATCATCGACACCGATTTGTTCTGAACGCCGCTTTTGGTTCATCTCCCTCTCTCATTTGGATATTGTTATATCCCCATCTCATGTCTAGTTTTGTGAAGTACTTTGCTCCACTTAGCTTGTCCACTAGTTCTCCGATCAGCGGAAGTGGATATCTATTTTTGATAGTGATATCATTTAACTTTCAATAATCTTGAACGGGTCTTAGCTTTCCATCTTTCTTTTTTATGAAGAAGAAGGGTGATGCGAATGGGGATTTGGATGGTCTTATCCGTCCCGATTCTAGATTTTCTTTTAAGAATGCATCTAATTCTTCTTGTTCCCCTTTCGCTAATGGGTAAATTTTGCAATCTAGGGAGTGATCTCCCGGTACTAGTTCAATTGCATGGTCCCATTGTCTTCTTTCAGGTAGTGTGTCAAACTCCTTTTTATCGAATACGTCCTTGTATTGATGAAGGTGTTTTGGTACTATCTTTTCAAATCCTCCTTCTTTTCGATCTTTGCTTGCGGCTTCGGCCAATTTCTGTGCCATTGTGCCTTGAGCCCTGATGTGGTAATATTGATCATCAATCGTGGCATCTTCGAAATTCTGGAGATTTACCTGTATCATCCTCTCTCCTACTTCAAGTTCTTCAAAGAATGTTTCCGGATCTTCCTCTGGATCAGAGATTCGGATTCTCGGTTTACATTCTTCGGGACATCTTTTGAAGGTTAACCTTGACTCTTTCCAGTCTATTTTTGGATTATGCTTGTTTAGCCATTCATGTCCTAGAAACATTTTTCCATTACCCAGATTGGTTATGGCCAAATGTATCTTTTCAACGTGACCATCGATTTCCATGAATAGTATTACAAATTCGCTGATGGCTCCATTCTTGTTAAGAGTTCCATCTGCATTATAGACTGGAATAGGTCTGGGTATCCTTTTTGTTTCATATTTTTTGTCTTTTACAAATTGGGAATCGATGCAACTCCCCGTGCATCCACTGTCCAATAATGCTTCGACTATTTCTGTTTTAAGAGTGTCTAGCGTAGTAAGCTTACACTTTACGTTCATTTGATTGCCTTGGGTGCCCCTAATGTACTTTTTAGGGGAGGCAATTTCTATGACTGCTTGTATAGCTTCTGCTTTTGGTAACCGGTTGATTTCTTTTATTGTTTCCTGGGTTACTTCTCTGGTTCTCTTTTTGTGTGTCCAGGTGCTTAAAATCCCAATGGATCTTTCTTCCTTTTGGTCTTTAAGCCTGTCTACTACCCACTCTGGGGTCCAAACTTCTTTTCTTTCTAGGTTTTTTAGAGGGGTTCCTGACCTCTCTTCTACAGTCTCTGCTGCGTTTTCCTCCGTAGAGTTTGCTGCATCGGGTGTAGGAATCTTAACATCCACCGTCAGTGCTGCACTTTTTAGTGATTTGCCCGCCGTCGAAACTGCGGATGTCTCGTCACTATGCGCCGCTTCTGCTGCAGTTGTGTTTTTCTTTTTTGCATCCTTTTCGTTTCTTATTTCTTTCTTTGTCTGTGTGTTTTTTGTAATTTTATTGTCAATGCTGTTTGGTAAATTACATGTTTCCACAGTTAAAGGAAGAAATCGATTTGAAATGTCTTTTTTTAGGCGCAGCCGGTTGATGCGGTACCGCTGGCCTCTTTAAAAACCCTCCAGGAGTTTTTCTCTTTCTTCTTTCGTCATTTTATCTAGTAACTCTCGGACATTAAACTGTGGCTTCTTCTTTTGTGCATCTTTGCACTCGAAGCTTCTATGTCCTTTCTCGCCGCATCGGTAACATTGTCCTTCCGTGCGGAACTTTGCTTTATCTACTTCCATCCTTTCTCCATTACCGGTATAGGTATAGCCGGTTCCGTCTCTTTTCTTTTCTCCTTCTTTCCTTTGTTCTGAATTTGGTCTTTTTCCAACTTCGGAACCTTTCTTTTCTTTTTCTCGTTCTCTCCAAATATAATTGATTCAGATGAGTTCTCTCTTCCATTCCTGGTAGTCTCTTGGAATATGTCCCCCGTAGATCACCCTGTCTACTAGGGGTTTGTTCATGTTTCTTCTTAATAGCGAGATTAAGAACTCTTTGTTTATTCTGTTTGTATATCCCGCCCATCTTTTCTTCTCTTCAAACCTTTCGAAAAAGGCTTTGGCGGTTTCATTGCCCTGTTTCAGGGTCAATATTTCGTTCTTGGCAGTTTCTTTTTCAAAGCTGTCCTTGAACCTTTCTTCCATTTTGTCGGCAAAATATGGCCAACTTCCGTATGTATGTGTGATGTCGGGCCCTAATTGTTGAGCATCGACTCTGTTTTCCAGCCAGTCGGTCCGGAAGGCCGCGGCTTCTCCATCTTTCATAAAAGACAGCACAAAGCTTATCTTTTTTCTGTTGTCTTTGAAATAGACAGCGTCATCTTCGAAGTGTAAAAGTAAAGACTCCCTAAAAGCCCGGTACTTTTTCTTATCTCCTGAGAAGTTCTCTGGCTTCTCTAGGGCTGTCCTACTTCTTTCCACCTTTTCTGGAGATGGTGTTGCTTTCTTTAGTCTTTTTTCTAAGACGCTCACTTCTTCTAGCGCCTCGTCGAGTTGTGATTGGTATAGAAGGCGCGTTTGTCTGATTGCCTTTTCTACTTCTTGTTTTACGTATGCCTCCAGTGATACTTCTTTTGGTGGGGGAGTTTCTATTTGGGGTAATGAATCCATCATTTCCTGAGTAAACACGTCGTCCGTACTGTTGGATGGCTCTGGCCGATCTCGATATTCTAGGTTGGACATTTCTGAATTCGATTTGTGGTGGTGGGGGAGTTTCCTGTTTGATTACAGGGGAGGGATTTCTGATGGGTGTGATTTCTGGTAGAGGAAATTGTCCTCTGAAGATGTAGTCTCTGGTATAAACGTGTTGTTCTCCTATCCAGATGTAAAATTCTCTACTGAGCATAGAAAGGAATTCCCCAGTGATAAGCTGGATCTATACACCGCTTTCTAGGATCTCGAGTAGTCTATCGTTTTTTCTCTTTGAGTCAAGGTGATCCTCTTCTGTTCACCACTGACTATGTACGTACTGTGCTATTTTTTGTATTTTACGAATGTTATGTAAAAGCTATAGTAGGAAAACTGGGTCCGAATGGTTGTCCAGTTATAACCGGCTTATTAAGCTCTCGGTTCCTCTCCCGACTGGCGGACGCAAATGCGCGGCCTGGTCAGAGGAAAGCGAAAATGAAACTAGGTAACAACGAGAAAATTCCTATGGTTCCACACCAAAGGAATTATATTGATATAAAGGTAGTTCAAAGGGGGATGGTATGGAAGGAGTCTTGGGAGGTGGTGGGTGAAAAATTGGCTGGGAAGAATGATAAGATGGTGTCAGGGCAAGTGGGGATGTGATTTAGTGGGATGATGGATTGTGTGTTAGTTGGGTAAAAGTGTTTGAGTAAAGTGAGGATGATGATGATAACAATGACAATGGTGATGGTGATAGCTGCTGTTACGTTCATAGATGGTACTCGTTACCAGTTGTTGATTGTGTAAGATTCCTATACCCTATACCGAGTTAACGGAGGTATAAGTTTCAAAAGTCAACAAGTAGCGTCAAGCACTGTATTTAGAAGTAATCAACAACTGGAGAAAAGTATGTACATGGGTGTTGATATATATACGTTCTGAATGTTAGCCATGAGGTGCTGACTGATGTTGTGCGTCATAGTCTAGGCTTTGTCACGTGGTTGTCACGTGATCGGATATAATTAACTACTTTGTTTACATAATGAGTTATGTGCTTTTTGTCACATGATCAGATATATTTAAATAATGAATCAAAAGAAACTAGCGGTTTGGTTCAAATCGTGACATGATAGGTCAATTGTATCATCATGAACATGTTTCATGTAGAATTATGATTAGATTAGATCAGATTCAAACATAAATTATAAACTGTATAGCACTTATATAAGTCCAGGAAAAGACAATAGCAAGTCCCACAGCAAGAATAATGCAAGCTTAGCGCACAGATAATGACATACCATAATTTGAGCCAAATCAGGCAAACAGTAGCTCATTTTATCATGTAATGACCATATGGGGAAGTCAAATCCCATGGATGGCAGATTTCTTGGAGCCCTGTACTGATAACACACTGACTAAAAATGAAAATTATCAATGTGGAGCACCAAACTAGGTTTATTATGAGTGGACAGGTGTGTGACCATGTTATTTCTTTCTCACTTCTGTCTATCTAAGTCATGACTCCTTTAAATTCTATGGATTCCACCAAGGACTCCAAGGTCTACTGCAGGGCAGATTTAAAGAATGGCTAATGCCACCAGTGTGAGTTATACTGTATTTTTCTGCTCTGGATCCTGTAAAGAATCAATTTTTCTATTGCATTCCCACCATGTCATGGTTATCCAACCCATTCCCGTCACTCCTCTTGCCATTGGATTGGGAGTCACAGCTGTTACTCTTTTACTTTTATCTTTCTTTCCCTTATTTTCCTTTCACACTTGTATTCTATCATACTTGCGACGTAGGGGATTCCTCTCCTATCCCCGATGTCGACGATGAGAACTGTTGTTAGAAAACCACACACAAAACAAACTAACACACAATCCTCCCAGATTCCACGGAACTTGTTTATGGGCTTTGCCTCCTAGAACAGTGGAGTGGTCTGGTTGTTCGTGGGGTGGTACGTATTAAGATCCTTCAAAGTAAAACCCAGAGGTGTATGAGTGTGGGTTTTGAGGAGGAGGGATAGTTGAATTTATAGAAAGACAGGGGCTTTGTGACGAGTATAAACAAGCACTACCTTGCTAATCGTAGCACAAGGTAGGTTTGAGAACAACGAGGATGACGAGGTGACGAGGTTCCCAGTGATAGCAGGCTCCTGACGCACAAACTGTAGTGCTCAGAAGGACTCTAATTGAAAGGGATGACAATCACTTTCAAAAAGTGACGAGTGACGATGACAGCAGTTAACAGTAGTAGCAGTGGGAAGTGTTGTGACCACACTGGATCACAAGTAGCAGAGTAGTGAACTTGAGAGTAGAGAAAAAGTCTGGATTGGAGTTCTTATTCTCTTTTTTACAAGGTAAAATACAGGGGTTTATATAGTAAAAGAAAAGTAGGCTATGCACAGTATAGCTGTGCAAAAAGAATGAGAAAGAACATGAAGGAAGGAATGTACGCTGACGAATCCTGCGTAGGTAGTACAGGATAAGATTGTCAAAAAAGGAAAAGAAAGGGATAGAACAATGAATGCTGTGAGTAATGTCACAGGTTTGTACAGCCATAAAGTAAAGTCCAATAGCAAAAAGAGAGCAGGAAAATCATGATGTCATGGGAAGATGCAGTAAAAAAAGGGCAAGGCAAAACACTATCAGTATCAACACAGTTCCTTTATTGTCAGTCAGGCATTCTAAAAAAATATGTGTCCATAAAAATGATTCAAAAATCAAAAATAATCGCACTGTAAATGAATGTTCTGCTTAAAAAAAGAAACTGGAGCCACCAGTCCACCACCTAGTCCAAATCCGACAGTTCCATGGCCTTACCAATGGACTGGTTGTGTTGGACCACCTGATCAAACGAGGGAGGGAGAGGAGTAGTTCCAATTTGGAACAAGTGAGTCCCAGGCAGCGTGTGATAGGTGTAGCTGTAGCGAAGACGATGGACAAAAGATAAGTGTACCCAAGTGAATGGGACAGCGATGAACATGGGTGACACAAGGGGATGAACCTTCTCCAGCTCAAAAACTACCCACCCACGCTCCAACCAGGCAAGACGAGCGACCGATGTTTTGATAGTATATGATGGTAGATCGACGTCATGAAGATGGACCTGTTGCCCTATTTGGACCGGCCGCCGGGGCTTTGCTGATATCAGCAATGGCACGTGGTAGTCAACGGATTGGCAACGGAAGCGGATAGGAAGTGGTGACATCAGAAATGGTGGGGGTGCAAATAAGATGAGGAGGAGGAGGGTGGAGGTGACGGAAAAGTGGATTAGAATGGGGATCCAGAAACAACCATCAGGTGAGAATAAAAAGGAGAGGAAGGGGCCCATGGTGGGGCTAGGCAAAGGAAGGGGAGTAAGGGAAACGACAAAAGCAAGGGCGCAATGCAATGTGTAGCCAGTGGCGACGCGAAAATTTGCCGAAATGCCGAAATGCGGAAAGTACCAGATGGAAAAGCAAAGGTGAGCGTGACTGGATTGCCTAATAGAGGTGGTGCTGATCAGCCACAAGTTCAAAAAGGGCAATATTAATTACTATTCCACGTGGCACTGTGCCTGTGTGGCGCAAAGGCGAGTCTTTTTGAATATTCGCTTCGTTATTGACACCTGTCCATGCTACCAATCAACTTTGGTGCATGACAGCGCACAACTCAGACAAGCCATAGTGAAGTGAGTGGCAGTGGCTACCCCTTAAGTTAGGACTGAGGCAGTTGTAGGTAAACAACAGAAGGACTTGCTAAGGAGTCTCCTTGATCTATTGGGGTTTATATACATCTACAGACTATTTGTACATATGTACTATACAGTTGATGAAGGTAGTGGCCGATGATGTCATAGGGCACAGCCCGTGTGACCAGCTCCACTTCATGAGAGACTTGTAGCTAAGAATAAAGAAAAGCAGTGCAGCATGAGAAAGTGGAGTTTGAACAAAATAGAAAGTGCCACATAGCAGTGTATGAAACTACAAAAGAAAGTTAAAGTGGAGAATGAAATTTAAAGGTCTAAAGATTGTGTATTGTAACACAATCTGTCTATGGTACAATTTTAATTATCATGTGTTTTTAGTTCACTTGTAATTTATTATTCATGCTCTCATGTTGCACCAGCTGTCTTGTTCTGAGTTGTTGCCTCATACTGCATGTTTTCTCATTTGCTTTGAACTGTTTGCAGGTGCACCTCTCATCAAATTCAAGTCTTTCAGTGCTTTCGCCATTTGCTCTTCTTGATGACACTTGCATCATTATGACTTGTCACGATAGTATTAACACTTGGATTCATTATTATAAAATGTAGTCTCAAAATGATGAGTATATTTCATTGTATGTCTATATATATCTATATGAAAATGAGAATATGATGTCTCCTCAACTGTCAGCCTTGTCAGGAATCAGCAAACTGTGATAAACCACTTAAGTATCCGAAAAACCACTTTCTGGGATTGCTTGACAAGAACGGCAGTGAATATGACATGAACAATGTTACGATACACAGTTTTTGGACCTTTAAATTTCATTCTCCTCTTTAAATTTCATTTGTAGTTTTCACACACTGTGCCATGCGGCACTTTCTATTTTGTTCAACTCCACCTTCTCGCGCTGTGCTGCCTTTCTTTATTTTTAGCTACAAGTATCTCACACAGTGGGGCTGGTCACATGGGCTGTGCCCCATGACATCATCAGCCACTGCCTTCATCAACTGTATAGTACACATGTACAAACAAACCTGTAGTAGTATATATACCCCAATAGATCAAGGAGACTCCTCAGTGAGTCCTCCTGTTGTTTACCCACAACAAACTTGGTCCTATCCAAAGGGTAACTACTCCCCTCACTTCTATATAGTGTTGTCTGAGTTGCGCCAGAGTATACAAACTCTTGGTTGTAACAAACAACAGATATGATAGCATTGAGATACAATGACATAAACATATATGGTGTTGTCTGGTTTCTGCAATTTTTGTGATGATACCCCTTCTGGCTGAGTCTGGCATTTCCTAGAATACTAAATGGCAAATGCAATGGCAGGGGAGGTGATGACAATGCCCACAG